TGTGTGTGTGTGTGTGTGTGTGTGTGTGTGTGTGTGTGTGTGTGTGTGTGTGTTTTGAACTCTGTAGTGTGTTTGTGTAGTCTACAGAAGTGTGAGGAGACTCTGATCAGGGTGGGCTTTGTTTAGGAATGTGATTTGCTTTTGGGTTTGTCTTTAATTTTGCTTAACGTGTATGTTACTCATTGTTTGCACACTTGCTTATTGCTGTTTAATAGCTGAACGTAGCAAAGCACTCATCAGATGGTGTTTCTTTAAAACAAAGCTAGCTTGTCACTTTTTGGCTTCTCTTTGTTGCTGTCTTACTGCAAAAGTTGATCATGTATTTATGTACATATTATAGATATGTAATGAAATGAATAAAAATCCCACCAACCAGGCAGCTGCTCTGAATTTTCTCTTCTCTTCTTTACATGTCTGATATTCTGATGGCTTCTGTTGTTGGAGGCAAGCAGTTCTTCAGTGACATATGTTAGACAAATGTTTTATTTTCTGTTTAGGTGTGAGCAGACAGGGTTTTATTTGGTGGTCTCATTGCTCTCTCACCAACCCAAAAACACATTTAATACAAAGTTTAAAAAAGTCAGCCAACAATAAAGAAACGTTTGTACTGAGGACAGCAGCAGACTCAAAGACTTTCAGATTTAGACTTGTAATTGCAGAGAATAAAGCCATACAAATACCTCAGCTGGACCAAAACACAAACCTTTATTCAGTCTCAGGATTAGAGTTGGGTGAAGTCATATTGATTATTTTTTGGTTCTTGATTAATATGAATAATGTTGCCAGGCAGACTGACTGGAGACCCCCCTGGTAAATCAGGTCGGGGTRGGACTTTAGGGTGGATCAAGGTGTTGTTTCCATGAATCTACATCTTTCCCTGCCTCAGCTGCTACACACTTCAAATAGGACAAACATTTGAAAAAATGTTCTGTTATTATTTATCATAACTCTGGTTTTATTTGGTCTATCAACACAATTTAGAAACTGATGTGAAGCATGAAGTCTTTTGACACAWCTTGGAACAGATTTTAATGGGAAGTAAATCTTTGCAACTAGAGTTATTTAAATTGGTCATGTGATGACATGCATGGATTCAGGGGATTAATTGGCATATTTTTTGTTAAATACCTGGATAAATACCACAATTAATCATGACCAAATCAAAAAATCCACACAATTTATCCATAATCTTCTGGGTCTGACCTTGTCAGGGACTGTGAGGATCATCTCTGCCCACTCATGCAACAAGCAGTTATCTAATGAGAAAATAATGATAGGTTGGTCTGTTGTCTGGTGATGTGTGTGAGTAATCTGACTCTGTTACACTCTGAGACGACTCGTGACAGGATCATTCTGCACAGAGTGCACGTCAGGTTATCCCAGTTTAATCAGATATAAGTACACATATCAGAAATCTCTCAATCAAAACAAGAATGAGTCGTACATTAAAAAATCTGAGTTGAATTCCTTTCAAAAAGTCTGAATACCAGAATGTGTTTTCTTTGGTAAACACTTTAGGAAAGTTCAGCAACCCTTACTTTACTCAGAAAAGAGGCTGTGCAGGGTAACCTCTCAACCTCTTCTATGTCTTTGAACTTATTTTGATCTGCCAGTTGAACCTGGACAGGTTTGGTATCAAAAGAAACCTAAGAACCTTGGCTGAAGGCTTGTAAAAAACTGTTTTGACATCCACCAAACACAGATCAAACATCAAGCAATTGAATCAGAAAGTAAACAAACTGTTAAAAATGGCATCATCGTAAATCTGTAAAGGCAAAATGAAAGTAATTCTAAGTAGATACCTAAATATGTTGTAAAGTGTGTTGAAAGATTTTTTTCCACTTGATTTTGAGTTAATATGATCCAGCTGAAATCAAATATAATTTCTCATTATTTTATATTAATATTATTTATATTTTTATATTCTCATTATTTTATATTTGGATAAATTTTCAAAAGGACAAACATTCAATAACAAGTCTTTTCAGGCAGGTAAGAAATCTTTTGGATGTAAAAACTTCAGATATCTTAACATTTATTAATGGTACCATGATGGTCTGTCCTGTGCAGAATGACAAAACACTAAATTATTTCTTTACTAAAACCTCTGTAACTTTGATCCAGTTCATTTTAGCAGCATGAACCTTTGCACAGGTAATGTCCACAAGTGGATTTATAGTTTCCAAGAGTTTTTAGCCTGATTCATTATGGTTTTAAATGGGTTAAATACTGTCTAATGAAAAAATTATTCAGGTGAGAGTGAAAAAAAAAAACAATTAAAATATTATGTTCCATCCTCAATATCTCTAAAACCACAGCAGCTGTTTTAATACTTACACTTATGATGAAATCTCCCAAGTGTTAGCTTTATTTTGATACCAGGATTATTTAAGTAGAGTTTGTAAATGCTGAGATACACTCAATTACATTTCGGCATGGTATTTTGAGCAAAAACGTCAAGAAAAACTCCTTGGGCCTGTGCAGGTAAAAGGCAGCTCAATGGTGCTTCAGGACATGACTGGTCCCTAAATTAAAAACAGGAAACACAAGAACCGGACTTTTATTCTGTAGTTGAAGTCATTTCACTTCCCATCAGGTGAGCTCTCTAAAAAAAATATTTTGTTACATACAAACTATAATAAACTAGAAGTAACAAACGACTGGGAAGGTTAAAGAATGCTCAAAACACCTGTTTGTTTCATTCCACAGGTGAACAGCTTCATTGGAAACAGGTGAGTGTCATGATTGGATATCAAGACAAGTTTGTGTCTAACTGGGTGTAACGTGCTTGAGTTCTGACAAAAGGGTGGCCATTTTAATGAATGGGTTCATGGAACTGAGCATTTGTGCTCATCACTGTTCAACTGTTTCTAATAAATGTCTTATCTCATCCTTTGAGTTTCATCTGAAAGAAAAACACTATTTTGAGAAGAACTTATATGGTTTGAATGTAAAGTTTCATTTTGCAGTGGAAATGAGGGGTTTTGCTCATTGTGTGTGTGATTTTGGACTTGTGTGTAGAGTTCTGAGAACATGAAGTGTGCTGTAAGAAAATGTGTTTAAACAATTGAGAAAAACTGTAACAGAAAGCAGCAGCTAGTTTATCAAAAAACTGAGATGATTTGTGAACAAAGAGAAACCCTGTAGARGCATAGGCTTCTCTCCAACTTTCTCTTCCTCCTCTGGAAATGCATGAGGTTGATGATGACCCTGGGCTATTTTTAACACAATGGGGGCGCTGCAGGTGGCTGAATGTAGAGGGCTGAAGGCACAGAATTAGAAATATTACTGCAACATTGTAGGTAGAGATCAAAAATACTAATGTATAATACACTATTTATTTGAAAAACTAACTTTAACAGGGACATATTTGTAAATATCTCTTTTTCATATTTAAATCCTTCAGCTGGGGTTTATTTAAAGTGAAACTGTTTTGGTCTGGATTCCTCCTTATTGTAACTCCA